GTCCTCTACTCTTGGAATCCGGGACCAGAACATTATGTGACTCATGCACAATCATATACTAGGCCAGACACAGTGGCTTATGCCTGTAATCCCAGCACTTTGGGAGGCCAAGGTGGGAGGATCACTTGAGCCCAGGAGTTCAAGACTAGCCTGGGCAACATGGTGAGATCCCATCTCTAAAACAAACAAAATATATATACTGAAGATACAGAATCAGATGTTCAGAAAGTACTGGAACCCTCCTGTGTGTGCCTAAGCTCAGGATGCACACATGGGAAAAAGGCCAGTCACCCCCACCCTGGTAAATATAAGGTTTCTCTTCCACAATCCATTTGGAATGTCATGATCTTTGGGTCTCCAGTCCTTGGGGTCCTCCCCAGAGGACTCTTTTGCCAGGCCTGTAGAGTGCATTATTTGCCTTGGCTGGCCTTAGAGGAGCCCACTGGCCAGAGCAGTTTGTCAGTGGTGGTGACAGCAGCAGCAGTGATTGCAGCTCAGATATAGTTGGCAGGGGCTTGTCGGGCATTGAGCCGCTGCATGTGGCAGCCATGGCAAAGCAAGTGCCCATCCAGAGGGAAACAGCAGCAGCCTTCCTCATCACTCAGCTGCATCCGGCAGTCCTAGGGAAGAAGGCACCTAGTTCACCTCAGCCCAGGCACCTTGGATACTGAGGGCATCTTAGGAGTCTGCCCTGCTCAACACCTGACTCCTAATAACTGGAAGAAAGGGATGGGGTGGGAAGGGCAGGATGGAAGAGCAATCTGAGAAAATATTAATACCTCAGCTGGACACCAGGTGTCGCTGCTGCAGCAGAAATAATGACACAAGTCTGTCTTTACAGCAGTTTGACCAGACTCGCTACTCTTAGAAAGTCCTGACTCTGGGAGAGTCAGATTCAGAAAGGACTAAGCAACTTGGACCAGAGAAAGTGGCTGGAGGGGACAAAAAAAAAGGCTGAAGATAGGTCACAGTATCTTTCTGGTTTCCCATGCCCTACACCTCTCCCATAGATGTCTGGTTGTTGCAGGACTTGACTCCTACCCTCTTCCCATTTCCACTTCTTCTCCAGCACCGCTGAACCCCAACACTCACCTCACAGTGGTAGCACTCAAAGTGATAATCTCGGTCCATGGATATCACTCTCACGATGTCCTCACAGCCCTGAAACATGCAGACCCCCATGGAGATGAGAGCAGCATGTTGCTTCACCTCCACCTCCCTCATATATAACCCTTCCCACCCCATGGGAAGATCATACAAACGGCCCCAGAGTCTCTCTGCAATCACCTGTAGTTTTAAGATGCCTCTGCAAATCCTACCAGAACTCTCCTTATCTCCTTCACTGGGCTGCCCCCATGTAGCACACTCCCTCTGTACAAGAGCCCTGGCCTTACCTGCGTCTCCCAGTTGTGGGGGAAGGAAAGGGACAGGAGGCATAAATAAAGTAGGCTAGGCTGGGAACAAGGGAATCCAATAAGATCTGGCTTTTCGGCCGGGCGCGGTGGCTCAAGCCTGTAATCCCAGCACTTTGGGAGGCCGAGACGGGCGGATCATGAGGTCAGGAGATCGAGACCATCCTGGCTAACACGGTGAAACCCCATCTCTACTAAAAATACAAGAAAATTAGCCGGGCGAGGTGGCGGCGCCTGTAGTCCCAGCTACTCGGGAGGCTGAGGCAGGAGAATGGCGTGAACCCGGGGGAGCGGAGCTTGCAGTGAGCCGAGATCGCGCCACTGCACTCCAGCCTGGGGCACAGAGCAAGACTCCGTGTCAAAAAAAAAAAAAAAAAAAAAAAAAGATCTGGCTTCTCTCCGTAGGTACATCCTCTACACACAGCTTAAATCATTTCTGACCCATTCCTACCAGTGCTGAGGATTCTTCCCACCTTTTTCCAGCCCCTACATCTGCAGTCTGGTGACCTCAACCTCAAAGAAAGTCTCCTCCTCTGGACTGGGATAGAAGAGATAGAGCCTGGGCCCAGTTAGGCTTTCAGACATGTCCAGGCCCGGATGTTAGGGTCAGGGTGGTGACCCCAAGAGGCAGAGTCACACGGGAATCTTCACAGAGTACATTCCTTGGCACTACTGCTTCCGGCAGGAGGCCAGGCAGCATGTCCCTAACCCTACGCCAGAGGCAGTGGCACTGGCTGCCCTGAAGGAGAACCCAGACATACTGACCTCAGAGGGGAGGATGGGTTGGCCACAGGCTGCACACTTAGGAGCATAATTTCTGAAAGACAGAGGGAAGAGATGAGCTGAGGTTGGGGAACCCCTGGACCCAGTTCCACACTGCATCCCAAGGGGTGGACTCACTTGTGATAGTCGGTGACACAGTATACTTGGTTGGAGAAGTCCACTGTGAAGGGGATGCCATCCAGGCACTTGTTGCAAACAATGCATCGGAAACAGCCTGGGTGATAGGACTTCCCCATTGCTTGTAGGATCTGGCTCATGGGGTAGCAAGAGAATCAGTCTCCCTCCAGTCTCAGTTCTCCAGCTGCCCATTATGCTCCCTATTACTCCCATTAACCTCATCCAACCCGCTGCTATACTCCTAGAAACAATGCTATGTAATGTGGGGGAAGAAGTCTTAAAATGGAGGCAGAAACCCTGAAAAATGCCTGAGAGAGCATTCAGGCCAGTAGTGTTTAACTCTGGCTGCATATCAGGATCATCTAGGGAGCTTTTAAAAAACATCAACGCTTTGGCCCTCCTCCAGGCCTATTATCACAATCTCTGGTGATGGGATCCAAACACTTTTTTTTTGTTTTTTGGTTTTTTTTTTAGTTCTTCCCAGCTGATCTGCTAGGCTACCATGATTGATAATCACTGATTTAATCCTATCTCTCCTTTTTATAGAAAATAAAACTGAGTCCCAAGTGATTCTAACCAGTAGCAGAAAGGGGATTAAGACTCAGGACCCCAGGCTGGGCACGGTGGCTCATGCGTGTAATCTAGCACTTTGGGAGGCTGAGGCAGGAGGATCACTTGAGGCCAGGAATTCGAGACCAGCCTGGCCAACATGGCAAAACTCGTCTCTACTAAACATACAAAAATCAGCCACGCATGGTGGCGCACGCCTGTAGTCCTAGCTTGGGAGGCTGAGGCACTAGAATCACTTGAACCTGGGAGGCAGAGGTTGCAGTGAGCCGAGATCATGCCACTATGTCAGAGCGAGACTCTGTCTCAAATAAATAAATAAATAAATAAATAAATAAATAAATAAATAAATAAATAAAAAGACTCAGGACCCCACACTCCTAGCTCAGGCTGGAAGGCCTGGCTGTGCCTGCAGAATTAGGAAGGGGCCAGGTTACAGAAGCCTGGGTTGACAGGCTTTTGAGCCCAGACTTGATTCCATAGGCAGAGAGAAGCCACTGTAAACAGCTGCTCTGGGGAGGAATGGGATGAAAGTGATTCATCTGGTGACAGGCTTCTTCCCCCAACCTTCTCTCAGTATCCATTTAGTCCCTGATTCCACTCCTCAGCCTCACAGTGAGAGTTCTCAGCTGAAGGCACTTTACTTACCTTCTCCAAAATCAAGTGACCACAGACACAGCATTTCTCAGCTGCCTCCTGAAACCCTGAAAACTAAAGTAAAAGACAAGACAAAGGGAGGCTGTTATCAAACTGAGAATGATGGGTGGTACTCCAATGGGCCACCAAGAAGGGGGTCAGTATGGAAACCAATTCCAGGTCCAGGTGACCCTTACTCACCAGATAATCTTCCTCACAGTACACAGAGCCGTTGACACTGTAGAAAGCCTTGCAACGCAAAGTTCGCCCTAGAAACAGCAGAAAAGGGGCTGGAACCTATCCCACAGCCCAGGTGCAAGACTTCTGGGGTCACTGCTCCCCTGTGCTGCATAATATATTTAAACCTGGACTTTGTACTTTTCCTCCTAACTGCTGTCTGTCCTTCTTCCCCACACAAAAATTCCATCTGATGCAATTCCAATTTGCTTTGGCTTCATTCCAGCCAACTTCCCCTCTCTTCTGCTTGCTGCTCCTCCAGCTCCTGCCTCCTTAACAGTTTTCTAGGGCCCTCCCCTAAACAAACTGCCTTCCTCTCCAGTGCATAGGAAGCCACCTGGGAGAGTAAAGCCAACTACATGCTGGAATACATGAGCTCTTAATAAGGTACTATATGATTTGCATAGAGAGAATCACATTGTTACAGGCCTTGCCCTCTGGGACCCTTCAACCTAGAAGCCTCTTCACCTGAGCATGTCTATCCTGCTCTCAAAGGCCTGTCTCCTTCCAGGGACAGACTCTATGGAGGTCAGGACTGGAGTTACTGCAGGACAAAGTGCTTTGTTTGGAAGCAAAGCAGGTCCCCTTTCCTGTTTGTTTAAGGCTGCTTCCCTAAGCTTAGAGGGACCCAGAGTCTCTAGGGTAAGAGACAACCCAGGATCTTCTTCTAGCAGACAAGGCAGGACCATTCCCCATGTGACCAACCCCCAGGAACTGCTCCCAGGTGTCTACATTATCAGGGATAGGGGAGGAGTGAGAACAGGTGGAGCATGAGCAATTTTCCCACCTTTGCCTTCTTCCCCTCAAAATCCCCACTTCCAATTCTGTCCAGTGGGTTAGGAAAGCTGACTTAGAAGCTCATGAGACACAGGGGAGGAAAGAGAGGGAAAGAGATATAGCCAGAAGAGGCCCTGTAAACAGAAGGATAGACAGACAGATGAGCCTAAAGAGAACCAGGCAGAAACTGGGGGAGTGAGAAAAGCTGAGTGCTGAAGTCAGACAGGCAGAGATAGGAGATTAAAGGTTTAGCAAAGGAATCAGAATGGGTTAGCAGGGAGGAGGGGGTAATGAGGGAGGGGAGGGGGGCAGTTAAGGCCGCTGGGAGCATCCCCCCTTTCCAAGTGGGCCTCCTGAGCTAACAGTGGCAGGCATTCCTGGAGCGTGATGTCATCAGCTTGGCATGGCCCGGTGGCCTGCACTCTAGTGAGGTGGCTGAACTCTGACCAGCCAAGAGAAAACCCCCCTCTCCGCCCCCAGCAGCTCCCCACTCCCCCAGCCTGCCCCCACCCTCCCCACATTCCAATCTTTCACTGTCGCCCCAGGCAACTTGGCTGCCCAAGACCAAGCCCCACCGAGAAGCTGGAGGGCCAGGCGAGTCCAGGATGGGCAAGCAAGGAGGCATGAGAAGGAGAAACAGAGGTAAGGAAGGAAGGAGGGACTCCAGAAAGGAGACCCACCAGGGGAAGGGAGAGCTAAGTAGAGGGCAGACAAGGAAGCAAGAGAGGCGGAGCAGCTGCGGACCTCCAGACACTTGGTGGGGATCCAACAGCTGCTCTGTGAGCAAATGAAGAGGCAAAAGCTCTCCTCCTGTTCCCTATAGCACTTGTGTGTATGTGGGCAGGGGAGGGGAGTGCTTGAGTGTTGGGGCTACACTCACCACAAGAGCAGCAGACAAAGCACTGGGTGTGGTAGAGGCTGTCCAGGGCCTGGCAAGCATTGCTCTGCCCATAGATGCCTTTGTTGCACTTGATACAGGTGCCTGAGAAGAGAAAAGAGTGTCACACTCTACTCCCCCAGGTCAAAACCAGGGATTCCCAAGCTTTCCTGACTGCCCTTTCCTGATGTGCCAGGGGTCACAGTCTCCCTTTGATGGGCTCCCTTCTGAGAAGAGAAGATAAGAAGTAATGACATGTAGCAAGATCTTGGTTGAGCAGATCCATTCTTGTTTAATTACTCAACAGATATTTTCTGAGCATCTATTTTGTGCTTAACACAGCACCACTACCTGAGGAAACCTGGAGAAGGTCAGAGATATGGTCCCTGGCATTCAGATGCTTAGTTTCTGTTGGGGAGAAAAGATTATACAGGCAAGGTATGATCTCTGTTGCAGTGTGTAGGATGAATGGCCAAAGATGCCGGTCCACAGGTGCTCAGCAGCAGACTTGAAAAAACTTTCTAGAGAAAGCAGGCTAGGCCCAGAAAGCCTCTCTGGGACTTCAGTTTCCCATCAGTCAAACGAGCTGTTCAGTTATAGAATGATTTCTCTCTGCTGCAGACTTCCAAGGATGGAGAAAAGGATCTGGCTCAGCAGAGGGCTCTGTGCAGAGGGGACCATGTGAGCATGACTCCTGTGGGGAGGTGACTGCTGAGAATGTAGGGTGTGTTCCAGGAACCAGGGTTGAACAGGAAAGCAGGGAGAGTAGCAGAGCCCCTGATGCCTCCTAGTCACCTTCTATCTTGGGAAGAACACAGAACTGAACTGCTTGCTATTCTCCAAAGTCCCCCGCTAAGATACATACACCTGGCTCTGGGACTCGCCTTTCCTGGGTGTGTTCTTCCCTCCCTCCACTCCCCAATTCCAGGCCCATGAGTGAGGGCTAGGGCCTGTCTTTGGGGAGCAGATCCCAACGGGCCCGCCCCACCTCTCCCCCTCGGCAGGCTGCCACACTCCCTGCCTGTTGGGGCCCATCCCAGTCTTTGCCCAGGGGCTTGGGAGCCTGTGCAGCAGCTGCAGCAACTGATGGGCCCAGACCTGTCCTGCTCCCACCCTCTGGCAGCTGGGCAAGGCTGAAGCCAAGGAAGAGGGCCCCTACTAGGGGCAGGAGGAGGGTACAGTCAAGCTGGGGCTGGCGGCACAAGGGGTATGTAGGGGTTGTCAAAGGAGGCAATCTCACTCCCAGGGAGACGGGGCCCCCATCTCTGAATTCAAAATGTGGCTTCCTCATGGAAGTGAAGATCTGCCCCAATATTGCCATGCCAGGGGGTCCCGTCAGAGCCGTTCTTTAGGAAACCTTGGACATTATGGGAAGAGCAAATGAAACTGCTCAGGCATGTTGGCCTTACCTCATCTAACCCAGCATATCTACACCTATGTTCTTCCTGCTCTTTTATTGCAGTTTCTCTGAGTTCCTTTCTTCCTTTTGGCTCTGATGGTTCAGCCAAAAAGACTTCTTTACTAGCCACCTCTCCTGGGCCTCAAAACGAAACTGCTAAATGGGCCCTGTCATTCAGTCTTCCTTGATCAAAGCGGTTTGGCATCATCTCCTCTGGGCTTTCCTCTCGGTGGATTTGGAAGTGGGGAAAAGAATGGGGGTGGAGGTTGGGGGTTGAGTTATGCAGCGCCCTTGTAGCCTGCCGCCCTGCTACCTCTGAACCTCCTACCCAACCATCCCTCCCTGGCCGCGTTCCTCTTCCTATTCACTTTTCTAGCCATAGAGTTCTACAGCATGGGGTCCAGGAGTGGGGCACGAGTGGTGAGAAGAGATGCTTGGAAAAGTGAAAGAGGCCCAAAGCCCTTAGGGGGTAAGCCTGCCACTTCTTTCCAATCACAATCATATTCGAAGTTTTTTAGGTGTGTAGTAGTGCCTGTGAATTCTGACTAAAAGATCTTTCAAGACCCTAATGTTCCTCATAGCTGAGACATATAATCAATCAATACTTTTTGAACAGAGTAGTGGAGGGAGACAGCGACCAGGTTTCCTTAACAGTGTCAGGAAGTAAGGCGCTACTTCTAGCCTGAATTCTGAGAGGTTATAACCAGAATTCAAGATCAGGTTATTTCTGGCAATAACACAGGGTCGTTATCCATCCAGAGGTAATGGTGTCCCAGCAGTCATCGCTTTTGCCCTGACTTCCGGAGGATGGGGAAAATAGAGGCTGGTACTACTGGGTCTCTGATTAAATGCCCACGCACGCACCTAGCCAACAGGACTGGGGAGGGACAGCAGTTAGGTCCCAGGACGCTCCATCCCGCCTCCCAGGCTCCATTTCCCCGACAGCCGCCACTACTCTTGTGTGTGCTAGGGAGCGCCCCCCATCCCCGAACCCCACCCCTCCGCCGCGCGGCGGCGGCCGCCCCGCCCGTGGGCACCTGGAGCGCCCGGGCAGGAGTCGGCACGCACGCGGCCAGCCTGCCCAGCCCCCCCACCCGCGCATTCTCCGAATTCCTGCGGGCGGAGCCTGGGCCCGGGTGGGGGCGCGGCGCGCACAAACCTCCAGGGGCACCGCCGTGAAGGGGGGAGCAGGTTGGGGGGGATGCGCCCTCACTGCCCCACTTGGTCCTTTACCTACGAGGCCTCCTGCCGCGAAAAACCGAGGTTCAAATGCTTGAGAAACGGACTCACGCGATACCAGGAGGGTTGAATTTAGCAGAAATAAGGAGCCCTGGTTCATTTGAAAACTAGCAGGAAGGGGACAGTGCTCTGAGGCCGCCCCCATCCATCCCTCTTGTTTCTTTCCTAGTCCCGCGTCTTCACTTCAGACCCCGGGGCGCCGGCACTTTGGGCCGTCGGGGCAGTGGAGAACTGAATGCCGTGACGGGTCCCTTCCCGTCCCTAACCACTTCTCTCACTCACCGAAGTAGTCCTCCCTGGCCTCCGACTCCCGCATCCTGGCCCGGGCGGCCTCCGGAACGAAAGGACCTGGCGGCTCCTCCAGACCCGACGGCTCAATCCCCGAGGGTTCTCCGCGGGCGCCAGCTTCTCGCCCACCGGTGCCCACGGTCAGGCGAAGCAACGCTGTTAGCTCGTCCTGGTACCGGGCGCCCACGGCGCAGTCCCCGTAGCCGGTCACAGAGTGTCGTCCGGGTTGTGCCCCCCGTCTCTCCAAAGGCCCCGCCGCTCCCACTCCGGCCCCGGCTAGAGCTCCAGGGCTGCCCAGGGCCGGGGGATACGAGTGGCGGCTTTCCTGGCAGCCGAACCCCGCGGGCCGCTGAGCGTACAATCGGTCCAGGGCGGCATGGAGCTCCGGATAGGCGGACGGGACCCCTCCGGGAGAATAGCCTGCCGGTGCTGCGGCCAGCGGTGGGCCAAACAGGCACGGCCCCGCTGGCAAGGGGCTCCCGTGGCGCTGGTCGTAGCCCATGCTGATGCCGCTGGTGCGATTGCTGCAAGGCCGGCTACCTCCAGCTCCGCCAGCCCCCGCCCCGTCCAGCAGCAGGCTGCCCCGGGGGCTGGACGGCTTGCTAGCGTCGCTGGCCGAGCTACTGGCGAAGCTGGAGCGGGGGCTGAGGGCCGGGGCCGTGGCCTCCAGCCGAAAATCGGGGGGCAACGACTGAGGTAGAGGCAAGGCCCGGGTGGGCGGCGGCCCCCCGGGAAAGGAGCCTTCGTAGCGCGGTGCCTCAAAGGAGCCGCGCTGATTCCGCTCAGCGTCCAGGGAACCTTGCTCCCGGGCCGGCTCTAACGGCTCATCCCCAGGTCCCCCAGTAGCTCCTCGGGGCCCTGACTTCCTAGGTCCCCCCAACCCACTTAGGCGCCCCTTGCCTGGCCCGGGGGTCCCGTCAGACCCAGACCGGCTAGATTCACCCTTTCTGCGGCCGAACTTCTCCAGCAGGCGACTGGCTTTCTCTCCTAACCGCTCCATGCCCTTGGGTCTGGGGCCTCTCGCCCCCTTCCCGCCTGGCACCCTGTGGCGTCTCGGGCGGCCGGTTCTCTTTCCCTGCAGCCGGACTCTGGTTCCCCAGGGGCACAGGGGAAGCACAGGGGCTTAGCCGGCGGCCTGGATGCCCGGCGCCAGGAATCCCACAGCATCCCCCAGCGGGAGGGGCTGCGTCCCCTCGCGCATCTGGGGCTGAGCGGGGCTAGCAGGGCCTCTGGCCGCGGCTGTCCCGTCCACAGGTCTATCTGTTCACGCGTCTACTCGCCCGACTGCCCCACTCTCCCCGGCCCCCGCCCCCCTCGCTCTCACGCTAGCCACGGACCGAACTTCTCTCCCAAACTTTTGTCTGCTTGGCCGGATCTACTTTCCTAGGAGGGCGGAGCGCGGTGTGTGTGAGAGGGCCGGGGGTGTCCGCGCAGGAATAGCTGGTGTGCGTGCAGAGAGGGCGCTAGCGCTAACTGCCCTGGATGTGGAGGCCCGCGGACTGTACATGAGAGGCGGGCAGGGGCAGTTGGGGCAGCTGCCCCTACATCACTCAAGAATTGAAACAGGAAAGAGTGTGGAGGTAGGGGACGGGGACTCTTTGTCTGCAGTTGGAATGCGCGGAGGGGCATGGTGGAATGTGTCGCGGCTTGGGACCCGACGACAGGAGGCATGTTCTGCGCTAGCACCGTGACTTTGTTCCCAGCGTGGGGACTGTGGGAGAGATGGAGAGAGACTGGTACGGAAATGGTGAGACAAGGAGAGAGCCATAAAGAGGAAGACAGAGAGAAAGAAGACAAATGCATAAAGAGGTTCAGAGACATGTACGCAAAGACAGTCCT